CACGAAGAGTCAAGCTGAGGATTGAGCCAATATGTAGAGAAAGGTTGAGTCAACAGTGTTGCAGGGAAATCAAGCTGGAGTCTTGATCAAATTTCATGTGATTCACCTCTGGACTTTTGGGTAGCTTACGCTAATAAAGCCGCCTACTGTGTAAGCTAGTTTGAACTGGATTTTCTGTTGCTTGTATCATAAACTAAGAGGATGTGACAATGAGCAAACCTCAAATGTGGGTTGGCTGAGAAGAGATGTTCATGTAGAGAGCATCAGGGATGTCTTTACTCCAACTAGGAAGATGGAGATCCTGGTTTAGCGAAATGGCTGGTATGGGGGCAGGGGGCTGTTGTATTCTGGGATACAGACCTTCTGAGTATGAGACACGACACCTAGAGGTCTGGAAATATTCAGGATGTTGACTACCTTCAGTAGTCTTCATTAAGGTCCTAGAAGACATATTTAGGGGGAAGGTAGCCTATTTGAGAGTGGAGAGAGATGAAAATACAGCTTTGCTAAGAGAGGGCCTTTCTGCCTGTAGCCTGCAATGGAAAGTGACTGGACGTTGATGAGCAAGTCCTGCTGGATTGGAAAGCTGATTTTTCTGGTTAAGGTTAGAACACAGGCAACAAGTTGGGCGACTTATCAAAAAAAAAAAGACTGGGGCCCCAGAAAAATATTGCTCCAGTTACCACATCTCTTCTGAGCATCTTAAGGACCTCAAGCTCAATAAAGGGGACAATTGACTTATTGTGAAGATGCAGTTGGGATACAGCTGGGGGCAAGGAACAAATTTGGGTAGTTCCCCACCTCAGAGATGAAGGAATATGCCACTCATCTGAGGATCTGAGGAGCGGGGCAGTGGGCAAGACACAGAGGCCAGCTGCCAGATGAAAGATACTGAGCTCAGGATCTCAACTAGAACTATCAGCCCAGGAACTTAGAAGAAACCCATTCAATTCTTAGGGGATCTAAATTGTCAAAGAAAGTAGCCAATCTCTGAACTTTTACCTACAAGAAGTTGGGTGTTAAAACTATGATTCTCCTTGGAAGGCATCAATATCATACTCACTCAATGTTAACAAGGCAGTAGACGAAGGAGATACACTCAAACCCAGAACTGGGGGCTGCTATCTTGTCTGACTAAGGAACTTGCTTTACCATCAGGATAAGGAATCCTCATGATTGCCTCAACATTGTATGTACTATTGACCAATGACAACTGAATGTATTTCCCATTCTCCCCTTCTCCAAATGGAGAATCCCCCTTCTGGATATGCTTCATGCAGGTATCCTGGGTTTTTCTTGGCCCAGCTGGCTAGGCTGATGGTGGTGAACTTCAGAATTTAGTTCATATGTTACCATTCCATGAGTAGCTACTTTCAGACATGATGCTATGATGCATCTTCCAGAAAATAATGGATTGAAAGGGTGGGGGGAAAAGGTGGGTATTTCTGATGATTATGTAAAGGAAGGAGAATATATGAATGTTAGTTCATCAAATCGGTGGACCATAGTGGAATGTTATAGTTACTGCTCTAACACCCATCTCCCCAACTCTGAATAATAATCCTGATTTTGTTTGGGGAACTATGCTTGAACTCACAGCTTACACATGGCTTAGAGAAAGCCAATTCCACTCCCAGGTTGAGGACTGGGGCATGGAGCTGTCACTAAGCTTACACTGGGATTCCATGCAGACCTTCGAGACTGAATGAGGCTCTGCTTGGAACTCCTCTTTCTTTTTGGGGTGTCACTGTTGGGAAACATAAGTGCTGGAACAGCCATTTCACCACATGAGGAGAAACAACCACAACTGAAGCAAACACAAAGAGGAAAAATGGAAAGAATCAGAAATGGAGCTGTGACCTTATATTGTCTTCTTTAATATTTGATCCAGCTTAAGAGTTTTCTGTTACTTGCAACCAAACAACCAACAATTATAGAGTGTGATAAATGCTCCATAAAATAAAAGTATGACAAAGTGCTGGGTGATTGAGAAGGTAGGATAATTAGCTAAGAGAAGTGATGTTTGCTTAAGCATTTAAGCCAGTGGTTCTCAACCTTGGCTGCACATTAGAATCACCTGGGAATCTTTTTAAAATCCTGATTTTTGGGCCTCATCCTCCGGAAATTCTGTTTCTTTGTTATGGGGTGGGGCCACAATATTAGTAACAAAGAAACAGAATTTCCGGAGGATGAGGCCCAGAAATCAGGATTTTAAAAAGATTCCCAGTGATTCTAATGTGCAGACAGTGAGAAACCACTGGAGGCAGTTCTTTAGTTTTCAGGACCATTCTTCTTTGTGGAGGTTTAATTGGACTCATCTGCGTCATCATAGCATATCTAGTACATCAG